TAATAATACTTTCCATTTATTAATCGCTTTCCCCAGTGGGCTCAAAGCGATGTACAGTTACTCAAATACAGACAAGGGACTAACAATGTTTGTAGGGGATAGGGAAGACAACATATATATTCATTTTAAGTGCACACGCCGATACTGCCCGGTGTAGAACTTCTTGGCTGGCTTTGTCGTTTTCCGGCACGGCTGCTTGCTGCTCAGGCTCCAGGACCCGTATGTCTGTCGCCACACTGCCACCGCCTGGCTGGAACGTCCGTTGCAGGAGTTCGATCTGTAGCCGGCAAGCTGTTTAGCCTTTACAAGCTGTGACCATCGACATTCGAACGTCAGCTAACGCTCTCCCAGAAGGAAGATTGGCGTGCCCGCCCTCGCTAAGGAGTGGTTCCCATTTTATCTACTCGCTGGAGCTTTCGAATCGCTGGGTGGACGATGAGCTGGGCTTGAACTGACACAGTTCAGATGTTAAGGCAGTGGGATATACCCACTGTGCCACCGCTCCCCTGGGAAATGATAGGGAAATGGCTGAGAAGCTAAATGCATTTTTTTGCCTCTGTCTTCACTGACTGTCCCATCTTATGTTTGAGATATGTTTCGGCTTTTTCTCAGCTCAGGGACTCTACTGAAAATACTGAAAATACAGGAAACTTTCCAGTTTTATAAACCCTTGAGAAATGGCACTTGAGGCAAATTAACTTTCAAAACCAGAATAAAGATTTTATTCAACAGGCAGGGAATATATGTATAATAGGAATAGTCAAGGTTTTGAAGTTACTGAGGTAAAAAGCTTTCTGATATATACAGAGTTGAATTCTTGGAACATTCAAGAGAGTATACTTGTAGTTTTGTTTCAAGCCTTTCTATTTTTTTCTTTGAGAGGTACTTTGGTATATTTCAGCACCACACAGTTCTTATTTATGTTTCTATATTTCTTCCTTCAGAGTTTTAGGTTTTCCTGTAGATATTACCACTTTTCCTTAACTCCTGAGGTGTCTAAGCTTCTCCCCTTTATTACAGACCAGGGTTCCCAATCCCTTTCACTGGCAGGAAGTTATTCTCCTTGTCCCTAAGAAGCAATAACTCCTTTTACTATTTAGCTTAAATGGGAGTTCACTCTAAGTACCCAGACCTTCTGCCAAATCCTTCCAGTATCCTTTGTCTGTATAAGGCTGTTCTGTAGCTTTCCTGACTGAGAATCTAAATTCTCCCTCAGAGCAATTTTAATATATTTAAGACAATGGGGTTTCTCTTCTTCTCTCTGTAGATGTACTTTTCTGACTATTGCCTGTCAGAATACACTGACTCCCAAACGTTTTCCCCCACAGAAGCCACTGATCCAGACTTTAGAAAGACTAAACAGGGTGGCAATGGACTTCGTGGGGCCCTTACCCGCACCCCGCGGGGAGCGAGGTAACTACTAGTCATCATGGACTATACCACATGGTTTCCCAAGGCCCTCCTCCTTCCTAGCATGAAGAGTGCGGGGATGGCCCGGGCCCTCATGAAGTATTTCGCTATGGTGGGCCTACATCAAGAGATCCTCATCAATCGGGGGTCACCCTTCACAGCTCGACTCATGCAGCAAGTCTGCCGGCTCCTCCAGATCCAACAGATATTCACCTCTGTCCACCACCCCCAGACGGACAGGTTGGTCAAACAGCTGAATCAGACACTAAAAACCATGTTGCAGAAGGTGAAACATGAGTGCCCGAGCACTTGGGACATGTATGTCGATCCCCTTTTATTCGCTCTCCAGGAACCCCCCCAGGCTTCGACGGGTTTTTCCCCATTTGGGTTAATCTATGGGCAGCAACCACGGGGCATCCTGGAGGCGATGGAAGGGCAGGGGCCAGATGGTGGTGACTCCACCGAGGAAGAACCCTGTGAATATTTACAGAGACTTTGAGAGCAAGTAGAAGCGGTCAGGAGGGAGGCCTGGGTCAATCTTGAGAGGGCCCAAGCCATGCAAAAAAGGCAATATGATGTAGGGGCCCACATGCACACCTTCCAGGTAGGGAACTGGGTATTGGTGTCCCGGGAGGTCATGGCCCTCACACATGGGGACCCATGGCAGGGACCATATCTAGTAACCAAGGTCCTGGGACCCCTCTCCTATGAAATTCAGTGTGGTACCTGGTCTTGGCAGCACAAACGTGTGCACATGAATGACCTCAAGGCCTGGCAGGCCCAGGACACCCCCGCCAAAATTGTCAACTTGGCCGAAGACCTAGAAGAGTTGCAGGACAGGATGTCCCCTTAGCATAGTGATTCGACACAAATGGCAGAGCCCATGCTTGATGAAGCCCTCTCAGGAACACAAAGGCAGGCCCTCCGGCAGGTTCTATGAGAGTGCCCCGAGGTCTTCTCCCATGTCCCCGGCTGCATGCACCTTACAACCCACCGCATCCCGACACCCCCGGGTAAAGTCGCCCAGGCCCCCCGGCAACCGGTACCTCCGAAGCTCTGGGAGGTAATGGGCAGAGAGGTAGAGGAGATGCAGAAATTAGAGATCATTGAGTCTTCCCAGAGCGCCTGGAAAAGTCCGGTGGTGCTGGTGTCCAAGCCTGACCAAAGCGTGCACTTTTAAATGCTCCAGACCTATCTCGCTGTAGGCTCCACTGGACTGTTTTGGATTGCTAGCTATGGGGGTGGGGGGAACGTGCAGATCTGTCCTCGTAGAGGAGGGAGAGCTTGTACCTGAATAAAACTTGGTCTTAAAGGTGTCACTGGACTGTTTTGGATGGGGGGGCGGGGGGAGCTCTGCAACTTACCTGGCTGCTTCTTGCTCTGACTGAGGGCTGCTGGGAGCGGGGGGTGGGGCTTGTTGCATGTGCCCGCCCCTTGGGCTCTTTACTGCCGGAGCTCCGCTCCTGTGCGCTCCTGCAGGAAATGACCCCTCCTCTGCATCATGTGTGAATGTGTTAATTGGCCAGATCCTGAAAGTGAGGGATGCCCAGCTTTGCTGTGTGCACGACCTTGCCCTAGAGAGTTGCCCTAGAGAGTTGCCTGTCACATCTGCTAAGGAACTCAGGGCAGCGTACACGATTCTGTCCACCTACATTTGATCCTCCCAAGCACCCTCTACCAAGGGAAGTATAACTGATCCAAGTTCCCCCAGCAAGCACTTCATGCATCAGTGAAGGGAATTGCATTAGCAGAACAGATCTGCCAGATCTGACCCTCATTGCTTGTTTCTGTTATTTCCCCCCTTCTATGGTCTCTACTTCTTTATCACCCCATCTCTTTGTTTTTTTAAAAATTACATCCCCAAGTTAAGATCTGTCAGCCTCCAGATTTTCCCTTCCTCTGTGTCCTTTCCCCTCTGTTGTGTTCGTGAGCAGCGTGTGGCTCATTTTCTCTCTTCTGCTCTCTGTTTTAAAGAGTCCAAGAAATAACGCCAGTGAGGCTGGGTATGAAGTGGAGCATAGGGCTAGCACCAAGTCGCCTTGATATTTCTGGCCTTTGATCCTTCCTTTCAAAGGCTCATAATAATGCAGGATTCTTCCCCGGCTCCAGGACTCTTCTGTCTGAGAGCAGTGCAGTATCGGCACTAACAAGGGCTGCTCCAACTGCCACAGTCTGCATGTGAGCACACACAGCAGTGCACTGCTTTCTCCAGTTACTGCTCCACCCTTCCCCTGAAGAACAGATCTGATTGGTCAGGATCTTCACCCTGGCAAACCTGAGGCCCCCACCTCTTACCAGAGATCCTGTTTCATAAACTGAGCTTCGGATTCCTTTTAAAAAAAATTATTAAGCACTTGGGAAACTTCAGCATCTTGCTTGTGTGCAGTCAGCACACTTATCCTGCTCATCATGCTGCAGAGCCTGCTGCTGCTGCTGCTGAGCCTCCTGTGCCTTGGGACTCAGCTCCACCTCGGCCTGGCCTGTCAGCTGCCGTCCGACTGGAGACCCCTGAGTGAAAACTGCAGGGCTGAGCTGGCGGAAATCATTGTCTATGCCAAAGTCTTGGCCCTGCACCAGGATGTCTACAGCATGTACAACTACTTGCCCTGGCAGTACGAAGCCACTGAGGAGGGGCTTTTCTACTCGGCTGAGATTGAGATGCTTTGTGACCAGGCTTGGGGGAGCATGCTGGAAGTGCCCATGGGATCCAGGCTGAACCTGACAGGACTGGGCTATTTCTCCTGCCACTCCCACACAGTCATGCAAGACTACGCCTACTTCTTCTTCCTCAGGTGAGTACCTCTTGCAAGCACAGCAGTCTGTAAAGGTCATTTCCCATGTAGGATGTTGCCTGCGGCTTAAGAACACATTGAACACACTAATAACACCGCCTCACATTTATGGATTTGTCCTTTAGAATGTTCACAGCACTTCCCTTTAATAATCCCACAAATGTTTTACAAAACCCTGTAATGCGGGCCATCTTTATTATCTCCATATGGGAGACCTGATATACTCATTTTGCTACTGGGACTTCTGTATATAAGAAAGCCTGAGGTGGTACAGTTCTACTAGCTCATTCCACATAGTATGTTTTTAGTGTGGTGTAGGGGGTAGAGAAGTAATAGTCTTTGACTATGGAGACATGGGTTCCAGTCCCCATTTCAGCGTGATGCTCACTGGCTGGCCTTGGCCAGTCACTGTCTCTCAGCCTAACCTGCCTCCCAAGCCCCTCCAGGATAGTCGGTGGAAAGGAACTCTGTGGATGTTGCCCCAAACTCTCGGGAGGAAGGAATGACATGATGCAAATGTGATTAAAGGCCAACAATCTGCAATTCTGCTCTCAGTAAAGACTCTCTTCTGAACTTGCCTAAGGCAGCAATCATAATTAGATCAAAACATCAGAGTGATTCAGTTGCCAGCAAAAGGTTGTCATGACAAACCTAGAGTTTGATTTGAGTTTGTACCACTGCCTGTGAAAAACACCTTTGAACAAATGAAGAGTGTTTTTCTGTAACCATCAAATTTATTTATTTATGTAGATACTTAAGCTCCATTTTTCTCCCTAGCGAGGCCTGAAGTGGCTTCAGTTACAACACTGTCCTCCTTCCTCCATTTCATCCTCAGAACATCAACCCTGTGAAGTAGGTTAGGCTGAGAGAGAAAGTGACTGGCCCAAGGTCACCACCCAGTGAGCTTCCATGGCAGAGTGCGGATTTGAATTAGATCCCAGTCTATCACTCTAACCTCTACACCATGCAAACAATCTGCTTACAGCTGGAAAGTTACAGGAACAGTTTTCCCATCCAGATATCCCTATGCCAACTGCTTCTTGGTGCTGACTTGAAAATTTTTTACTCAATGGATTTCTCAGGGCCAAACAAATTCTCCCCCATACTTAGCATAATAAAAATAAACCACAGTACAGGAACAAAGCCATCACAATGTCACCTCAATCCAAAATTATCTGTAGAGTTTTTTTTTTTTTTAAAAATAAAACCTGGCTGTGTCATTTTCATGTGCCTTTGTTTAGACATTAGCAAATGCTTATATCTATGCCATGAAAAGCTTCATCTGCTGATTTCTGCAAATCCAGCTGCTGTTTGAAGGCAGAGAAGCTGGCCAATCATTTTTTTCTGGTCAGTTGGCAATCCTCTTCAGAAACATTTATATATCTGGCTTACACACTGGTTCTACACAGTGAATGCTTATTGTCAGAACCAATTAAATGGGTCTTTGTATGAGACATGTATGCCAAAGGAATAAGTGCCTTCTTTTTTAAAAAAAAATTGTGATTGTTGATATTATTATTTAACCATCAATATCATGACCTATAGCAGGACTGAAAGTGGCATGGTATAAACCTGATCTCATCAGATCTTGGAAGCTAAGCAGAATTGTTACTTGGAAGAGAGACTACCAAAGAAGACTCTGCAGCAGAAGACAATGGCAAACCACCTCTGCTTCTCACTTGCCTTGGAAGTCCCTTGCTGGGGTCTAGGGTTGCCAGTCTCACCTTTCCTGAGGCAGGGGGCTCCTGGCTCCTCATTGGGACTTTTTTGCCCCATGCGCTTTCTGCACACAGTGCGATGACATCACCACTAGTGACATCATCACACTAGGTCCGTGACATGGCAATGTTCTAGTGTTTGGGGCCAAAACTCTATGGTAACCATAGAGTTTCCACCAAATGCTAGAGTGTTGTCGTGCGACAACCCCCGTGTGATGACATCACTATCGGTGACATCATTACATCAGTGGCATCCCCGTGGAATGCTGCTGTTTGGGGTGGGGCTTCCCCCGCCGACCAGCTGGCTGACAGCAGTTTGGGGGGCCTCAAAATTGAAGGATGCCCTGGCCTGACCAGGGGGATATGTAAAAGTATATAGCACTGTGTATAATAGATGTATGTTCAAGGTAAATCAATGTTGTGCTTTTTTAAAAAAGGTTTTATTTATAGTTTTTCCATAATTACATACATATATCTCCCCTTGTTTAACAATTGGGGGGGGGGGGTCAACATTACAGTTTTTCTTTGTACCATTTTATGGCCTTACTAGAAATAAGGCCCGTTGTGGAAATAAATACAACGAGATCTAGAAAGAGGCTCTGGGAGAGTGCTCTGGCTTTGGGCAAACAGTGTCAGTCTGCTTTTAAAACATGAACCTGGGACCTGCACACCACCAGAATACAGCAGGTTCTATATGTAACTGACATTCCAACTGCATCTCTATCTGACATTGCACGAGGCGTGCGGGCGGGGGGGGAGAGTTTGAGGTGTGGAATGGAGTGAAGTCCAATCAGCTTCCATATGCAAAAGACCAGGTTGTCGCAGCAGTTGTGGTGTGGGCGGGACCCGGGCTTTGCCTTCTGATTGGTGGCGATATATGCTGAGGAGCAGTGCCATCAGCCATACACTAAGGGAGTGCATTTTAGAATTAGAACTTTGGCACCCACTATTCAATTATATATAAGGAGAGATGCCACTTCTGGTTAAATTTATCTTCTGTTTTTCCCGCCAAAAACATATTTAATTTATCCATTTCTATTACATCAAAAAGCTTGCTTATCAACTCTTCCATACTCGGTGTCCGTCTTCCAATTCTTTGCGATACATATTCTCGACATTGTAGCTACATATGCAATAATACATGTTTCATTATACTTAATGCCATTAGGTGTTACGTTTAGTAGAAAGATTTCTGGTTTCAATGGTAAGTCTGTTTCTGTAATATCTTTTATCAACTGTTTAGTAATTTTCCAGAATCTTTGTATTTTCTCGCATTTCCACCATATATGGAAATGCATTCCTATGTTATTTTTACACCTCCAGCAGTTCCCTGAAACATTTATATAACATTTTTGCAGCCTATCTGGCGTCCAGTGCCATCTGTATATCATTTCTATTATATTTTCTTTATACGACGTAGCTCTTAGTAATTTAATAGATTTCCATGTTTTTTCCCATTCCTCTCTCTCTACCTTACGTCCCAAATCTCTTTCCCATTTGATCATTGATGTTTTTTTCCAATCCTGCATTAATTCTTCTTTTAGTAGAAAATTATAATTTTTTTGCATCTGTTTTTCTTTGTCTCTTAGCCATATTTTATCTAATTGTGTCTCTGCCCTATAAAAATTGGACTTTTTATCTCTTGTAAATCTTGAAATTAATTGATTCCTTTCCCATATTGAGAGCTTCACGTTCATTTCTTGAAGTGATTGCCACGACTTTAGTTCATCTTTTTCATCTAATAAATTTCCATATGTTATCTTTTTTTCTTCTGTCATTAATGTTGGCATTACAAAAGCCTCCACGGGTGACACCCACTTTGGTATTTTTACGTAATACCTTTCTTTTATCTGTCTCCATATTTGCATTAGTGGTCCCCTTATTATATGATTGGAGAAGCTTTTCTTTATTTTGTCTTTGTCATACCACACATAGGCATGCCAGCCCATGTGTAGATCATAACCTTCTAATTTTAACAATCTTCTGTCTTCCAATAGCACCCATTCTCTTATCCATCCCAACGATGCTGCCTGATAATACAAATTCCAATCCGGGAAGCTTAGCCCTCCTCTAGTTTTTTTTCTCTCTCAGGAGTTTCAACTTTATTCTGGCTCTTTTCCCTTGCCAAATAAATTTCCTTATCTGTTCATTTAGATCTTCAAATAATTTTTTGTTTTTAAGAATTGGGATACATTGTGCTAGAAATAGTATACGTGGAAGTACATTCATCTTTATCGTGGATATTCTGCCCATGAACGATATTTGTAGATCTTGCCACCTTTGTAAATCTTTCTTAATTTCCTCCAATGTAACCTTATAATTATTTTCATATAGGTTGTTATTATTATTTGTAATGTTAATACCTAGGTATTTTACTTTTTTTTACTATTTCTATCTTTGTAGTTTCTTGTAATTCGTTTATCTCCTCTTTCGTACAGTTCTTTGTCACCAGTCTCGTCTTGTTGATGTTTATTTTAAGTCCAGCGACAGTACCATACTGTCTTATTATTTGTAATAAATTTTTGATCGATAGTATCGGATCTTCCAGAATAAAAACCAAGTCGTTGGCGAACACTTGCTACTTAAATTGTTCTCCTCTCATTTTTAGGCCCCTAACTTCATCGGAGTTTCTCACTATGTCATTTAAAGTCTCTAGTCCAAATATAAATAACAACGGAGAGAGTGTGCATCCTTGCCTTGTTCCTTTTTCTATAGGTATCCTTTGAGTCAGCTCTCCATTGACTATGATTTTTGCCCACTGTTCAGAATTTTGTGCTTTTTTAATGTTTAATGTTTCACCCAAACAAAACATCAAAGTGCAGGTTTACATTCTGTACAAATATTCAGACAGCACCTTGTCAGTATCACAATCACTAGACCTATGGGACTCTAGTAATTTACCCGTTTTGAATACAATCTTTTTCAAGGACTGTGATGTATATAAAGAACATAAGATGCAATAATTTTTCTTTTGTCAAGTCTCCACGGGTGCACACAAGCACCCAACAGCGCATGCGAACACTTGGGTTAAAAAAAACCCACAAACCCCGCGACAGGACATGGGCGGGTGAGATCGCGCCCGGATAATCCACCTATCTTCCGTCTCTCTAACGTGCCTAATGCTCTGTGTGACCGGGGCCTAAGATGGCCAAATCTGCTGCATCTGGCTCTTAGAAAACTATGATCATGCAGGGCCTGTAGTAGAAACAAAAGTCTTTGGAATAAGCTTTTAAACTCAAATAAAGCTTATTCCAGAGCTGAGGTCTAGAAACAGAATCAAAGGCAGATTTGAGATTGACAAATGCAGCATATAGTGAAGTTGCTCCCCTGGCTGAGTATTTCTCAAAAAGGTGCTGTAATGTCAGGCAGTGATCAAATGTAGATCTGCCTGGTCTGCAACCTGCCTGTTCAATAACCAAAATGTTTTCTTGTTCTAACCAATCTACAAAATTATTTAATAAATGTCCTGCATAAAGTTTGCTTATGATGTTTAGCGAACTGCTTGGTCTATAGTTGGATGGGTCCTTCTTCTTACCCTTTTTATAAAAAAGGGAAAACGATAGCTAAACCTCAAGACTTGGGGACCTGACCCGTGTTATCAATGTGTGTAAAGAGGGGAGCTAGGAAAGAGGCCCACCAATCCTTATTCTCTTTTAGAAGTTCTGGTGGAATGCCATCTGATCCTGGGGCCTTAGCATTTTTCAGCCACCCAATAAGTGATTCAATCTCACCAACTGTTACGGGGGACCATTTCATGGTATTTTCTAATGTTACCACCGGTGGAGAATGGACAGCATCGTTGTACATCTCTATAAAGGAAACCCATCTATCCGCAGGTGACTTAGCACCTGAGACTCTACAATTGACTAACTTCCAGAAAAGGGATGGATTTTTACTTTTGGCTGCATTGATAAGCTCTTGTCACAGTTCTCTGGAGTACTCTTTCTTTCTGTGTTTTATCAATAATTTGTACTCCTTTTTTTTTTTGACAAAAGTTGGAAAAGAATTTCTTGCTTGGCTCCCTCATCAGCTCTTCGGTATTGGTGATAGACCCTATTCAAAACAGTTTTGGCTGCAATATATCTTTGATTAAACCATGGTTTAGATAAGTTGAGGAGTTTAGCACCCTTAGCTGTAGAGGAGTGAAAGAGAAAGGGATATATATTTTGTATTAAATTTTCATATACTTCTATAGGGTCTTGAACTGCTGTCGAATACCCCAGTGCTTGACAGGAGTTCAGTAGGCTACTTGAATTAAAACATTCTTTTAAATATTGACCTAGAGTGGGGGACCATCTCACTCGGCAGCCAAACCTTTCTGTAGGTTGAACCATAATAGAGTATCTAGAGGTCAGATGAGAGTCCTCAGGATCTAAAAAAAACCCGTAAAAATAGTGGAGAGAGAATTAAAATGTATTGTATTTAGCCATAGGCCATTACAAACCAAAGATAACAGCAGAGAGGAATACTGTAAACATGAATAATGGTATAAAATTGAGTAAAATCTAAGATATTATAAAACCATAAAACCGAAGTTATAAGCAATTAATTGAATCAAAATGTACCCACTAAGATCAATATTAACTAGTTCCCATAAGAACAGCATTGGCCCGTATTTTCTTTGCAGCCAAGGCAAGTAGAGCCGTTCTATAGGATATATTGGCATTGGAATCAGCTAACAAAAATAGAATCTTCTCAGAGTCTGAATCAAAGCTTAAGTCTGATAAAATACCAGAGAGAAATTTTAACCTAGGTTGGGTATACATTGAGCATTCAAGGATATAATGGGGGAGATCCTCAATAACAGAAGAGCCACAAATACAAAAGCAGTGCTTCCTTAGGTGTTCTACTATAGCAGCCAGCTAATACGGAGGTAAGGTTGCCATCTCCAGTTTAAGAAATTCCTGGAGATTTAGAGGTGAAGCCTGCGGAGGGAAAGGACCCCAGTGGGTTATAATGCCATACAGTCTACCCTCCAAAGCAGACATTTCTCCAGGGGAATGGATTTGTGTAGTCTGAAGATGTTGTTATAGTGAGAGATCTCCAGGCCCCACTTGAAGGTTGCCAATCCTACCAGGAGGAATAACAAAGGAGTTAAGGGTACTCATACCTGACCTGGTCTTCCTAAACAGTATCAAGGTGCTGTGACATATATGACATTTATTCAAGCCTATGATCAGTAAGTGGATTAATGTCAAATACTGTTCAAAGAACTCTTGAAGAAATGGCTATTCAGAGAGACACCAAACAACCTGCTCTTTAAACAGCCTGCTTTGAAAATATAGCCATGAAATGGGTGCCAATTTAATGACCAGAAATAGTCACTGTAAGGGCATGGGCACACTGCCACATTGGGCTGCTCAAATACCTCTGGGTTATGGCCCTGGCCTGACACCATGTTCATCCAGGTGCAGGACAACAGGGGCTTAGGAGAGTGCTCTCTATGAAGATGAGATGGACCTTGCAATTAGATACCAAAGTACGATCCCTCCTTTTCTTTTTCAGAATGGATGAGAACTACAACCTCCTTCCGCACGGAGTTAATTTCCAGGATGCAATATTTCCAGATACCCAAGAAAACCGACGGCTGTTTTCGAGCCTCTTCCAGTTTTCCAACTGTACTCAAGGGCAGCACAGTCTAAACTTTGCCAGCGACTGGGAGATACAAGAGGACAACAGGGTAAGGATGTGTGGGTTCTCCCTTTTCCCCCGGCAGCCAGCCAGCCAAGCAAAGGTTACTGTATGGTCCACAGAGCCAACCCTTGCCTTTTTTTGTCTGTAGTTCTCAGGGCTTGAGCAGATTGATTGCAAAGTAACATTTTTTCTGCCTTCCTCCCCTTCACTCTAGCTGGCATGGGATGCAGCTGCCTTCAAGGTCATGGATATCTAATGTATTTTTAAATAGCATGCATTCAAACAGAGATACTATTTGTGGGAATGCTTACAACATCTGGGTTTGGTGTATTTCTTCTCCCTGCCCCAAAGCTTTAGAATCATGGAATGATGTGGGGACCCAAAAGAGAATTGCAGAGAGGGTGCATCCCTTCCCCCTCTTTGTTTCCCCCTCCAATTTGTTAACTTACCCACCTATTTACCCTATTTCTCCTATTCGCTTTATTTGTCAGCCTCTCCCCCTATTTCGCTCCTTTCACCCACTACCCTTTTCTGTCAATCTACCCCCCCAGCTCTTTTGCCCCTCACCTTTTGTCCACCAGTCTACCCAATCATTGCTGCTCTCCCCACCTACCCACTACCACTCTTGGCACTCCACTCAACCCCACGCTTGCTGCTTTCTCTACCTAGCGCCCAACATCCTTGGTGCTTCACTCATGTCCACCCTTGCTGCTCTCTCTACCTAGCCCTCAACATCTTTGGTATTTGACTCACACCCAACCTTCCTCCTCTCCCCACCTACCCCCACCACCCTTGGTGTTCCACTCACCCCCACCCTTCCTGCTCCCCCACCTAGCCCCACCATCCTTGGTGCTGCACTCACCCCCACTCTTCCTGCTCTCCCCACCTACCCCCACCACCCTTGGCACTCCACTCATCCCCCTTCCTTCTGCTCTTCCCTTCTACCCTGCACCCTCGACACTCCGCTGACCTCCACATTTTCAGGTTTTTCTATGTATACCCCTTGGCATTCACTCTCCCCACCCTTGCCCCCTTCCTTCCTAACCCCATCCTTGTCTCCACCCTCAAATCTCCTGCTGTCCCCACCTACCCCCACCACCGTTGGTGCTCCACTCACCCCCACCCTTCCTGCTGTCCCCACCTACCCCCACCACCCTTGGTGCTCCACTCACCCCCACCCTTCCTGCTCTTTCCTTCTACCCTGCACCCTTGACACTCCACTGACCTCTACATTTTCAGGTTTTCCTATGTATACCCCTTGGCATTCACTCTCCCCACCCTTGCCCCCTTCCTTCCTAACCCCATCCTTGTCTTCACCCTCAAATCTCCAGGAATTTCCCACCCTGGGGTAGGCAACACTAGCTGGGATGGAAATAGCCATAGGCACTGCTCTCTCTCTCTCAAGACAACATCAGGCATTATTCCCTCAAGTCATGGGCCACTGCATGAAAGCCAGGAGGCAGGAGGGAAGGATACCAGGGCTCATCCCCAAATCCCTTCCTCCCCAAGTCCAAGAAAGGATCTGGTGGAGAAAAGTGTTTCTTGGTGTGTTCAGAGTCTGCTTTGCCTTTTATATCTTGGGGCATAACCCCAGGTTTCCCTCATATGTGCTACTTTTAGGATTAAGGATGTTCCGCTTGAGGTCCCTGTGCTTGCTAGCTTCATGGCAGTGGATCCTGCTTAGGCTGGCACTGTTAGTCTTTTATTACCCATAGGAAACTATCCTGTTGACCAAGACCAACTGAAACTCAAAAAATAGCAGACTAGCTTTCGAGTACCACAGAGCTCTTCCTTGAGCTCAGTACTGAACACCCCTGGCACCAATAAGCCAGTGCTCTGTAAAAGGTGGGACCAAGAAGTCTGATGTTATAAAAGAGCAGTCAGGATCTCCACAACATTTTTAATTTTATAAATCCCAATCATTGAGAGCCAGAGTAATGTAGTGGTTAGAGGGCTGGACTAGGCACAGGTTCCATTGTCATGGAAGCTTGTCGTGTGACCTTGGGCCAGTCACACTCACTCAGTCTGGGGTTGCCAACCTCCAGGTGGAGGCTGGAGGTCTCCTGGAATTACATCTGATCTCTAGACTACATACATTGCTTTATTATTTCTTTTTTAAAAAGAAAACATTTATTCCACGTCTCCTGGAGAAAATGATTCCTTTGGAAGGTGGAACCCACAAAGGGCTCCACCTTCAAATTTCTGAACCCAGAGCTGGCAACCCTAACCTCTCTCACACAGGGCTGCTGTGAGGATAAAATTGAGAAGAGAACATCCGAGAGTTCTGAAAGAACTCAAATGTGAACTTGTGGATCTCCTGACAAAAATATGTAATCTCTCCTTAAAATCAGCCTCCATTCCTGAGGACTGGAAGGTAGCTAATGTCACTCCCATCTTTAAAAAGGGTTCCAGAGGAGATCCGGGAAATTACAGGCCAGTCAGTCTGACGTCGATACCGGGTAAATTGGTGGAAACCATTATTAAGGAAAGAATTAGTAGGCACATAGATGAACAAAACCTATTGAGGCAGACTCAACATGGGTTCTGTAAGGGAAGATCTTGTCTCACTAACCTATTAATGTTCTTTGAGGGGGTGAACAAACATGTGGACAAGGGGGATCCAATAGATATTGTTTACCTTGACTTCCAGAAAGCTTTTGATAACGTTCCTCATCAAAGGCTCCTAAGTAAGCTCAAAAATCATGGGATAAAAGGATAAGTCCTTTTATGGATCAAAAACTGGCTAATTAATATAAAACAGAGAGTGAGTATAAATGGGCAGTTCTCTCAGTGGAGGGGGGTAAGCAGTGGGGTACTGCAGGGATCAGTACTTGGTCCACTGCTTTTTAACTTGTTCATTAATGATTTGGAGTTGGGAGTAAGGAGTGAAGTGGCTAAATTTGCGGATGATACGAAGTTGTTCCGGGTGGTGAAAACCAGTGAGGATTGTGAGGCACTCCAAAGGGATCTGTCAAAGTTGGGCGAGTGGGCGTCAACATGGCAAATGGGGTTCAATGTGGCCAAGTGCAAGGTGATGCACATTGGAGCCAAAAATCCTAACTATAAATACACGTTGATGGGGTCTGAACTGGCAGAGACAGATCAAGAGAGAGATCTTGGAGTTGTAGTAGATAACTCACTGAAAATGTCGAGACAGTGTGTGACTGCAATAAAGAAGGCCAATGCTATGCTGGGGATTATTAGGAAGGGTATTGTAAACAGATCAGCCAATATCATAATGCCCCTATATAAATCAATGGTGCGACCTCATCTGGAATACTGTGTGCAATTCTGGTCACCACACCTTAAAAAGGATATTATAGCTTTGGAAAAAGTGCAGAAAAGGGCAACTAGAATGATAAAAGGGTTGGAACACTTTCCCTATGAGGAAAGGTTAAGGTGCTTAGGGCTCTTTAGCTTGGAGAAACGACGACTGAGGGATGACATGATTGAGGTTTATAAGATTATGCATGGGAAAGAGCAGGTAGAGAAAGAGGTACTTTTCTCCCTTTCTCACAATACAAGAACTCGTGGGCACTCCATGAAATTGCTGAGCGGTCGGGTTAGAACAGATAAAAGGAAGTACTTCTTCACCCAAAGAGTGATTAACACTTGGAATTCACTGCCACAGGAAGTGGTGGCGGCTACAAGCATGGACGGCTTCAAAAGGGAATTAGATAAGCATATGGAGCAGAGGTCCATCAGTGGCTATTAGCCACAAGGTATAGATAGGGACTCTGGGGCAAGTGATGCTCTGTCATCTTGGTGCTTGGGGGGGTCAACAGTGGAATGGCTTCTAATGTCCTGGCCCCACTGGTGGACCTCCTGATGGCACTGGTATTTCTGGCCACTGTGTGATACAGAGTGTTGGACTGGATGGGCCTTTGGCCTGATCCAACATTGGCATCTCTTATGTTCTTATGTTCTTAACAATGTAAGCTGCTTTGGGGTACCCATTGAGGAGACAGGTGGGGCATAAATGAAGAAGATAAATAAAAATAATCACCGTCTTCTAGGTACTGGGGTCCAGAACCTTAACAAAACAATCATGTCTCAATACCAGTATATATCTAAATATGAGCAGTCAAAAGATTGCATCACTGTTATTTCAGAACAGGCAGGATTTTAGCAATTTCAGGGAATTAGCAGCTAAAGACACGGGATTCTGTTGTAGTCTAGGCGACAGCGCTTCCTAGAGCTCCACTGAGCTCACTGGTCTTACTTCTTTGTAAACACATTCAGTACTGCATTAGGCGTCATCTTCCACGTCACAACTCTGTTAAATTAACTGAAACGTTGAAGGGAGACTGTAATGAAGGGCAAGGAAAATTCTCTTCCTCCTCCCCCACAACATAGGTCATGTTTCTTTTTAGGTAATTCTAATGCACCCTGATCAGATCTTGGAAGCTAGCAGGGTCCACTACAGTTAGTATTACTACCAAGGAAATCCAGGGTTGCTATGCAGAGGCAGGCAGTGGCAAATCACCTCCATTTGTGTGCTGCCTTGAAAACTCTACGGGGGGTCAACATAAGTCAGCTGCAACTTGACAGCACTTTCCACCACCAATTCAGGTCCCTGATGCAGTGCAGTCCCCATGTATGTTCATGTGAAAGTAAGTCCCACTGAGTTCAATGGGGCTTCTCGGAAATAAGTGTGTCCAGGATTTCAGCCTTTGAAAAACCTCTGATGGGCAGCTGTTTTACAAGGCAGCAGCACTGCCGTTGAAGCGACAAGCTGGTGACAAGAGCAGCAGTGTCCTAACTGTACTAACATATTTGGGAGGAGAGAGGGAAGCCTTTCACTAGGCGGGCTCTTTTTGTAGCAGGTACTCATTTGCATATTAAGCGACACGCCCCTAATGTAGCCAATCCTCCAAGAGCTTACAGTAGCTCCTGTAAGAAGAGCACGCTCTCCCTGGAAACTAGCTTGGGATTACTCTCTCGATCAGTCTTAAGGGGTTGTTCTTTTAGCTGAGGGGGTGGTTGTTGTTGAATCATGTGTGACATGGGCCCCGGTCACACGGGCCGGATATCGCGGGGGGGGGG